TTTAGATTACCGTATGCAGACTGAATTCACTCGAGGTAAAGTGAAAGAAATCAACAAGTAATACTCGTTCGTATGCATCACTTGACCCTCGATTGCATATTCGGCTATTTTATTATTACATACTGCTTTACAACCCTAAACAAAACTGGCATCGAACGTTTGGAAAATGGTGAGTGTGAGTGTGCATGTTGATATTTGCATCATGATCATTATGTACGATGGTGTGCGTGTCTGTATGATACTTGTTGCCTTAATACATACAAGCCAACTCATAACCACACAGTAATACTTAACGGAAATCTAAATGAACTACACGAAGGCAGCAGTATCAACACGTCCCGAGAAAAGAGATTATATTCAATTTACTGAGAGGATCACCAAAGAAAACACATTCGCAACACTAGCGTGGAAACGCACCATACTCCTTGAAAATTCTAATAAAAATCTGTATAGTCACAAGCACGTTAACAGGAAATGCTATTCGCCTTTGTCCGTTACAAAAATACGACTGTAGCTTATGAAATATTTGTCTATTCTTGTTAGTGATCGTATTCGCCAATAGATTTGATATTCTTTGTTTTACTGTCTGTATGAGATAAACAGCAACAAAAGTAAATAGCTATTAAATTATTTATTTTATTCTTTGTAGAATTGCTATATATTGTTCTCAAGTAAAATTATAAACATAAATTTATCAATAAATATACTGGTTACTTATTCTATGATATATTTTGTGGCAATCTTTTATCCAAATATTCTAAGATTTATATTTTCGTATGATCGTCATTTCAAAAACTAGTGAGTAATAAGGTAAGCCAGTAGTTTTTTTTTAATTCAAAAATATTATTTCTACGATGAAAATTATTAAAGGTTGATATAGTTCTTTTCTCACTGAAACCCTCATCAACTCAAATTTAACAATAAGATAGGAAATAATATACATGAAAACTCTGACAAATCTATTTGTTCTCTAATTCGAAAGTACTGTATCTATAAGAGAAGATAATAAACAATTCAATATTTTATCGAATGAACACAAAAATAGGGACTATTTTCTGTTTTCGTAAAAATATTCTGATTTCTGAATACAAACAGCATGAAGTAATATTACGTAATGCAAAAACAGATATTTCTAAGAGATTAGATCCTTGATTTGTTCGCCTTGATACAACCAAAACAGGGATAAAAATGGTCAAATGGCATTCAACGGTCGTCAAATCGCAATCAAAAGAGTGATGCAAAACGCTCATAAATAATGCCCAAAAAATGTCTCCATTGTGATCTATTAAAATGGTGGTTTTTTTAACAGTGAAAATGGTTTTAAAAATGCTAATATAATGCTTACCATACACCATCGTTTGACATTATTTGTGATCGTTTCACACGGTTATAATTATGTGCATTCGACGACATTTTAATTAGGGATGTCGGCTTAGCATTAGCATTGCATTAACTTTATGCTAACATCGATACTTTTGTATTGCGATCCTAAGACAAGGATGTAGGTGATTTTAATCTTGACAACTACATCCATCAGCACCTAATGACACCAACCCATACCCTTTCCATCGACTTTTAGTGTGAAGTTCGAACTATATTCTTGACTTTTGCATAAAATACGAATGTTTGTAAGCAAACACTAGTAAATCGTATAATTTTTAGAAACTATAGACATATTTAAACCAGCTCAAAACTCCGAAAAATAGACTTCCTGATCATAAAATGGTTCAGGAATGTATCGCTATGTATTTTAATGGTCATTCTACCATTTTTTCACTAAAGAAATGTATTTTAATGACTGTTTTTTTTTCATTTTTTACTTGACAGGGAACTCGAAATTTTCCAACACTGTTAGAATAAATAAAAAAAAAATGATCAAACTTACATAAGCTGATATTACAATCAATAGTAAACAGAAGATTTTATGTAAAATCGTTAGTTAAAGTGATGTGTTGTCTTATTCAATGCAGTAAATTGCATTTGTCAATAATGAATTAAAATGCTGTTATAAACAGATTGAAGTTAAAGAGAAATGAACCTGTTAAAACGCTATTTTTCGGAGAGTTTGACCATGAGAATTGTGTTGATTAAAAGAAAGAAAAACGAATTGTTCTAATGCATCAATTTCATATTTCTGATTGGTTGGGAATCTTTTGCATCAAAAAATTGAATCTGAAATTTAACTTGATGATAAGTAGTCGAAATATCATATCATTTCGATTATTAAAGTTTAATTCAATACAAATAAAAACAATATGAGAGTATTGCTTTAGTTTTTATTTATTATAAAATATCTTTATCTTAGATAAAACAACACTAACGATGGAACATTCCCAAGTGTCCAATCGTTTTTGAGTTCGAACTCTATGCACAAGGTAGATCCCAGTGATGTATGAAAAACCCCAGAAGAATAAGTGCCCTTAGGCCTTCTGTCTAGAGTTATAGGCATTTTACCGAAATTTTAGCCTTTGGCATGGTAAATACCGACAAATCAAATGATAGTATTTCGACCTAAGATTTTGTCCACAAATAGATCTATTTGTGAGTAGAATACGCTGAAAATTTCAGCTCAAAAGAATGTTTTATTCCTGAGATATTAAAGTCCCAAAAATCAATAATATCCCACGAAAGATGCTAGAATTTACTGTTTTTTGGGACTTTAATATCTCAGGAATAAAACATTCTTTTGAGCTGAAATTTTCAGGATATTCTACTCACAAATAGATCTATCTGTGGACAAAATCTCAGGTCGAAATACAGCCATTCGATTTATCGGTATATACCATGCGAAAGGCTAAAATTTCGGTAAAATGCCTATAACTCTAGACAGAAGGCCTAAGGGCACTTATTATTTTGGGGTTTTTCATACATCACTGGGATCTACCTTATGCATAGAGTCCGAACTCAAAAACGATTGGACACTTGGGAATGTTCCCTCGTAAGTCTTATACGTCGTAAGTTTTATTCTTTTACGTCGAATTAATTTTGAAGAATTTTTGGATATAAAAGAATAAAAATATTAGTTCTTGATCTTATCGAACTATATTATATTTATCTATTTTTTTTTTTCTAGATTATATAATTAGAAAGAACATATTTGTGCTGGTAAATTACTAAACAACTGCGTTAATTCAATTAATCTACGCGCTACTAATTCTGGTAAAAAAGTTCTATATATTTTTCTAATGAATTTAAATATTTTAAAAACGTCATTAAAACGTGTTAAGTTGAATTTGAGAAAAGAAAATAAAACCTATATTTTACATGGGGAGGGGGAGGCTACAAAAGTTTTTTCGCTCGGCTCTTCTAAAGGTCATAATTTCAGTCTAATTGTTTTATTATAATACATAGACATATTTAGGATTGTGTGCAAAATTTCAGCCTTTTAGGGTGTTGGTGGGTGGGGTGTGGGGTGTGGGTATGGGTGTGTGGGTGTGAGGGTGTGAGTGTGCGGGTGGGGTTTAAGGGTGCGGGTGGGGTGGTGGGTGTGAGTGTGGGTGTTGATCTTTTTACTCACGTCGACACTCACGCTCCACACCCACACCCACACCCACACCCACACCCACACCCACACCCACACCCCACCCACACCCACATCCCACCCACACCCGCAGAATCCACGATTCAGTTTTTTTGTTAAGTGGAGTTTGTTTTCTTTTCTGTTGGACTTCTATTCTTTTTTCATCATAAAATTATTTTTTTTCTTTAAAGTGCACGTGAAATCAACCTCGAATATAACAGGTAAAACTCAACTACAGATAAAAGTTATTTTCATTTGGTGATTTCGTCACAAACACAAATAAAAGCATTGATAACGTTTACCCACGATTTTAGAATGATTTTTCACACGTTGTCAGTTTCAGAAGCGGTAAGACAAAATAACCTACTAGAACGTGAATCATTTTTTCATTATATGGAACGTTTGTAGCCAGATTTACGTGGTTATGTTGAGTATATTTTCCATAACGATGAGGGATGTATAGGAATCTCTTCTTCATTGACATTCACTCTAAAAATAGAAGCAATAAATGTTAGATTGACATTATTTACTTTTCATAATCATATCCATGTAAAAAACAAAAGCTCCAAAAATATTTCTTTCTTAGCATGTTGCAGCATATTTTCTTACAAAAATAAGGCTGGAAAATAGTGAATCGTGCTAAACTGATATTCGATAACGTTTCGTATGAATAGCTTAAGCAAAGAAAACTAGTATAAAAGGCAATTACACTGGCTCATTGATAATGAGATAAGTCTTGTTAGATTCTATTGTATACCAGAACACCGTTTATTTCCTACGATTTACCGAGTGACCTTTCCATGGCTATGTTTAATTTAGATTGCGCAATCGGGGTTCACATCCCCTTCATATTACCTTAATCATGTATATTACTGCTTCAACCAGTATTCTGCCCCTATAAAATGGCATCTCTGTTATAACGACCACGCTTGTGCTTGTTTTTTTATCATTACCATTTTATCTTTAAAACTCACGCATTTGCATAGTCATACATTGAACAATTTCAGATATGTTCATCACGTCACGTTTGTAAAGTCTGCAAATCTACAAATTCTGTTGTGGTATAAGTTCATCGATCAATGGCTACCCTCCATGAGAGCGAGCGTTCTTGCTTCGAGATAGTCGACAATGACTACATCTGTCTCAACAACAATGATGACAATGATGACACAGAAAAGGATATTGAGTGGGTCATGGTCAATATCAAGAAAAATGAACTAGAAGAATTCAATAGGCAAACACGTTTCGATCAGTTAATGAAAAATCATTACAATCAAATGTCTAAACCTTCAAAAATTTCAGAGATTGCTGAGACTATTGGTAAAAGTATTGCATATGCTGTTAAACTTTCAATCGGAATACCAACTGTGCAATGGAATGAAACTATATTTTATTTAATACGTGACTCTCGATGAATTCAAGGACATTTCTATTCTCTTTCCCAAATGTTTACTCAATAATTTGCTAGGCTCTATTTTTTAAAATAGTTTGCAATGATATGACGCTTGACTGCTATAAGCAACTTTTTCACACAAAATACAATAAATGTACAATACTAGACATCGATGAATGAAACACTTCCATGCTGCATGAACATCAACACTCACACCCATACTCTTTTTCGTCTTTCGTTTTTCTTGTCTCACTGAGTTGTCTTTTCTCTATTCCTCACTACCCTTCGTTCCTATGACTCTGCCGTCTTGTTTTATATCAACTGCTCTCTCACTTCACTATCTGTAAACGAGTGAGACTCTTCTTATCACCAGTAAATTTGTTTTGTATACCTCGACTTTATGGCTTATTATACTGGTTAGAAGATTTTTTCTTCTTATTTTTTCCGAATGAACTTAAGTACGCCCGAGCCGCAAATTATCGTACACTCAATATAAATCGAAACACAAAATAATATCTTAGCTCACATAGAGAACCTTTTCATGTTCTCTATGCAACGGTTTAAGTCTTTCAACTCAAATGAAACTGATGTTGTAAATTCATCGACAAAAGAAACTATTATAATAACACAAAAGCAAAGTTCATGATAAGATAAAACTTGTTTTCTTGCTGCTTAACTACCGATATCATAGATATTTGTTGGTAAATGAATTTCTGCATCTCTTTGTGCAACTTGTGGTAAGAATCAATAAGCGATTGTTGAGCTAAATCCATAAATCAATACGTATCGGAGAGATATAATTCGAATGTATCCCTATAGGATGTGACATAGGTATGAGTGTGGAACATGACAGCCGCTCTACGGCTTCTCTTCACACTCACACCCATTAGATAAATCAAGTGTTAAATCATGATCCAAAATATATTGTGTGTCGGTTAGAGGTGGAAGACAATTTATCTCAAACATTGATACTAATTCATCAGCTGAATAAGTTATCACTTCTGGAGGTTGCATTATTAAACGATATGCTTGATCGAGTAAACCTACGTACATAAACGAAAGATCTTGCAAGTAATAACTCAACAATTGCTTTTTTCATAATCCTCTCTGAAATCAGTGCCCACTATCTCATCGATCAGTCATATGATGTCATTGGACAAGTATCTTGTAAGTAAAAATAATTATTGGAATCGCTACTTCAGTTATATTCAACGCTCTTCTGTCTAGAAAACGACAAAAATAAGTATTTCATTGAATTAAATTTTGTTTCGTGGGTGTGGGTGTGGGTGTGGGATATAATCTTGTGTCCAGCTACACCGAGACCCACACACCCGCATCCACACCCACCTGAATAATGGGTATAAAAATAAGAAGAAAAGAAAAAAATGATTAATGAAAATAATAGTAATAAAAATAAAAATATATCTTCTAACTAATATTTATTGATGCAAAAAATTTAAATTGTATAAAACTATAAATATAGGAAGTGACTATGTACAC